GCAATTAAAAAAAAAAAAATATATATATATACATATATATATTATTGATTTTTTACAGAGAGAAAGGGAGAGGGATAGAGAGCTAGAAACATCGATGAGAGAGAAACATTGACCAGCTGCCTCCTGCACACCCCCTACCAGGGATGTGCCCACAACCAAGGTACATGCCCTTGACTGGAATCAAAACTGGGACCTTTCAGTCTGCAAACTGACACTCTATCCACTGAAGGAAATCTGTTTCAGCTGAGAGCCTTTTTTTTTTTTTTTTTTTTTTTTTTTTTTTTTTTTTTTTACAGAGAGGAAGGGAGAAGGATAGAGAGCTAAAACCATCAATGAGAGAGAAACATTGACCAGCTGCCTCCTGCATACCCCCTACCTGGTATGTGCCTGCAACCAAGGTACATGCCCTTGACTGGAATCGAACCTGGAGCCTTTCAATCCACAGGCTGATGTTCTATCCACTGAGCCAAACCTGTTTCAGCTGAGAGCAATTTTTTTTTTGAGAGAGAGAGCTAGAAACATCGACCAGCTGCCTCCTGCACACCCCCTACCGGGGATGTGCCCGCAACCAATGTACATGCCCTTGACCGAAATTGAACATGGGACCTTTCAGTCCACAGGCTGATGCTCTATCCACTGAGCCAAACTTGTTTCAGCTGAGAGCCAAATTTTTAACTTCTTCTAACGTCCCTTCTTCAAAATAGACACACCTGCCCTAACAGGTTTGGCTCAGTGGACAGAGCATCAGCCTGTGGACTCAAGGGTCCCAGGTCTGATTCCAGTCAAGTGCATGTACCTTCATTGCAGGCACATCCCCAGTAGGGGGCGTGCAGGAGGCAGCTGATGGAAGTTTCTCTCTCATTGATGTTTAACTCTCTATCCCTTTCCCTTCCACTCTGAGGGGGGAAAAAAATCAGTAAAATATATTTAAAAGAAAAACAAACTAGCCCAGGCCGTGGTATTTTGTCTGAAGAGCCACACTGAAGGGGCCAAAAAGCTCATGTGGCTGGTGAGCAGGGAGTTTGCTGACCACTGGGCTAGGGTTAGGGCTATGGCTAGGTTTAGGGTTAGGGCTAGGGTTTCGGGTAGGGACTGGGTTAGGGTTAGATTTAGGAGTTAGTAATTGGGATAAGGTGTTAGAGATTAAGGTTTTAGTTAGAAATGATGATTAGGGTTAGGTTTCAGGTTAGAGATTAGTGTTAGGGTTAGTTTTATTGTCACTATTAGGGTTAGGAATTAGTGTTAGAATTAGGCCTTGTAATTAGGGTTAGGGTCAGGGTTAGGAGTTAGGGTTAGTGTCAGAAATTACATTTGGGTTAGTGTTAGGGCTAGGGTTAGGAATTAGGTTAGGGTTAGGATAGTGTTAGGAATTCGGGTTAGGGTTAGGTTTTGGGTTAGGGGTTAAGGTTAGGATTCCGGTTATAGTCCAAATAAAAACTTGCCCCTCGCCAAAACCGGTGTGGCTCAGTGGATAGAGTGTCGGCCTGAGGACTGAAAGGTCCCAGGTTCGATTCCGGTCAAGGACATGTACCTTGGTTGCGGGCACATCCCCAGTGGGGAAGGGGGTGTGCAGGAGGCAGCTGGTCGATGTTTCTCTCTCATCGATATTTCTAGCTCTCTCTCCCTCTCCCTTCCTCTCTGTAAAAAATCAATAAAATATATTTTTTAAAAAAGAAAGAACAACTTGCCCCTTTTTACCCAGCCATGTTCCTTCCTGAAGGAAAAGAAATGACGCATCCTCACAGGTGTTCCTGCAAACCTGATGCCAGAGAAGGTTTATGGGGAATCCCTTAGGATGTCCTGATATGACAAAGCTGCTCAGGAAGGGTGCTCCTCCTGAGAACCGGGGTGCGCAGGCCTGGCTATGCCATGGTCGCTGCTCTGCAGCCGCTCTCCTCCCGCTGGCCCCCTCGCCCAGTCAGCTGAGCTGATCTCCCGGGAGCACGCGGGAGCTTGGGGAGGGAGGGAGGGAGAGGGAATGTACGCACTGACTCTCAATGTGCTTCCTTAGTGCTCCGGGCCCATGAGGCCATCGGGAAGGAAAGAAACTTTTTTTCTTTTTAAAAAAATATATTTTCATTTGTCAGAGAGGGAGACGCAGAGATAGAAACATCAGTGATGAGAGAGAATCATGGATCGGCTGCCTCCTGATGCCCCACACTGGGGAAGGAGCCCACAGCCTGGGCCTGGCCCTGACCGGGAGCTGAACCGTGACCTCCTGCTTCATAAGTGGGTGCTCACCCATGCGCCACCCCGGCCAGGAGGGAAGGACATTTCTGTTAAACACCAGAAGGAGATGGATGGGCTTCTGTCCTCAGTTCACCGCCCCTCAGAGGGGGCCGTACACACAGCCAAGGCCACAAGAGGAGCTGATGAGGCCACGAAGGAAACAGCCCCGGACCTGGCCGCCGAGGAGCAGCCGGAGCGGGACTCTAAGTCCTTGGGTTCCCTAGCCCGCCGGCCGGCAAGCCCATTCGCCAGCGGAGCGGCCACCCGGACTCGCGAGCTGCAGTTTGCTGACCGCTGCCTCAGCCTGCGTAGACTTGGGCCGTTGTGTGGCCCTTGGTTACCTCTCGGCAGAACAAGGAGGCCCCGTCAGTAATTCCGGCCTCGTGGAGACAGACATAGGACATTTTATGAACAAGCAGCAGGGCTGTGTAAGTGCGGTAAGTGCAGCCAGCAGGCCCAGACATCGGTGGTCTCTCCCGCCGGCTGCCCGCACACCTGCCCTCCTGCCCCCCGGCCCCGGGCTCTGAGGTGCTCCTGATTGTGGCTGCATTGGTAACAGCTTGGCCAAACCTGAGCTTCCTCGCCTAGATTACAGGTGGTTATGGAAATGGAACCCCACATGGGTGACCTGGCTTCCTGCGGCTTGTGGAAAGCCCATTAGGACCCCGCCTGCCGCTGAGAGCTTCGCGAGCTTTCACTGCGGTAAACTTCCTTCCTTTCCATTTGCCCGTGAATTCATTTACCCACTTTTTGAGACAAAGAACCCAAACCAAAGCAACAGCTCAGACTCGAGTCTCACTGTGCCCTCTCACCAGCAGGACCAAATCCTTTGCTTTTACAACTGAATAAATATATGTAATAAATATACATAATAAATATAATAAATAGCTCATACCGCGAGAAATATGTGGGATCTAAGAAATGAAGTTAAACCCTTTCTCTCTCTGCCTGTCTCTCTTGTCTCCAACCCATGACCAGAAAAATCCGGCATGAAATTAACTTCAAAATGTGTCTTAATTAGGGATTATTAATGCTCAAGTTATACGGTTTAATTAAAATCATTTATTCTCAGTAAAATCAAACATATCATTGAGTTTACATAGAAATACATTTTTCAACTGGATCTTCATAAAAATGCACTGGTGAAGCAAATTTTCATAATTAATGACCAATTGTGGGCTATTTAATCATGCCAGTAGCAGAATTGATTACCTGATTACCATTAAAAATTGGCAATGTATCTTAAATGTGCAAATACCATCGTAAGTATTTTATTACGTTACCATTGATAATAAATGGCCGCTAAATATATACCTATTACATAAAGCTTTTTAAAGTACAATAAAAATACAAATTCTATCTGGTAAAAAAAAAAAAAAAAGCCATTAATATGGCTTCTAAATGTCCTCATTTTATAAATTCCAAAATATTATATGACAAACAAAAATTATTAAGACTTTTCTTTATGAAACACATACTACCTTCTACTTAAGGTACAACCTAACAGAGACCATAAAACAACCAAGAAGGCTTACAGACATCATAGAAATTTACGGAGATACATACAAATAGAATACTGCATAAGCTATTCAGTTTCGTTTCCTAGTGAACATGTACCTTTAGCACTTGAAGAAAATTTCCAAGAGAGGAAAAGGAGACTCTGCTTTGGAGCTCCACCAGCAATGTAACCTCATTCACTGTTCTTATGTGTGATGGCCCACACGGTACGTTTTGACCGTAAGTTTTGGTTGCACTGAGTAACAGTTATTATTCAAGTCAGAGACCAACTGAGCAGCAACTTGATTTTTTGTGAAGAAGAAAAATGAGATTCTAACGTCAACAACAAAATATCTGCTAAGTAATACTGATGATCCATGAAGCCTGGTTTCTATAGATTTTACAGGATCAAAAACTAATGAGCCATCACAATGTTTTGAGACAAAAATATATTTGGTAAAATAAATACAAGTAACAGTGCAGCTATAGAGGGCAAACATGTCAAATGCTGTTTCAGAAAACAGGAGGTCGGAGGATGACTACATGTTTGGCAACATAACTTGACTCGTTAGAACGTAAAGTGTTTGCTGAAAAGGAAATTTAAAATTTCCCCACAATATTCACTCATGAAATAAAGTATGTAGAGTATAACGGACAATCATGGCTAACGTTATCACCTTGCATTTACTAATACTCTAAGCACATTTGGTTTAATTATTACAGGCATTTATAGTTCTGTTATTCCACCGACCAAAAGTGTCCTGGTGGCGTGATATTCAGAGTTTATGTTTTGTCAAAGATAGGAAAAACACTCATACATAAAATGACATCGGGTAACATGGTTATTAGTTTGAATAGTGTTCAGTTTGGCGTTGGTGTATCTCGTTAGGACTTTCGAAGGTTCCATGAAAGTATGGCTTTTGGGGAATCAGCACTCAACTAGCAGCCAGGAGTCCGAGCACAGATTTCCAGGTGCGGACGCGTGGAGCTCAAGCCCAAGAGAGAGATTTGGATCGCTGGTCCTCTGACTATAAACCCTTTTACAACAGAAACGGAAAGGACTATAAAAGAAGACTTTACAGTGAGTTGTTTGTTTAAAATCAAAGGTTACAGATCAATGGTGGAGGCATGAGGAAATTTTACTAAGATGATTTTCAGAATGCGAAGATATTAAAATAGATATTGGCACACAGATAAGACCCATCATAGAGGAATCACGGGCGTCTGTGCAGAGCAAACAAATTTAACACGATCCAGGCACCCTTGTCTTGACATCAGCACTTGCTGTCTACGGGGTCCGTGCAGAATACTGTGCCTTCCAGCGTCAGTCCCATTTTGAACCCCTCCTGTAAAACAGGGAAACATCATTGAAGTAGAAAAGCACAGAGCAGTGAATAAACAAACAAGTAAAAGCAGCAGATCAACGAGACTATGAACGAAAGCTGAAATCTTCAGGCTGTGAGCAACAAAGAAATACTTCAATGTCAAAATGGTGGCTTGTCAGATTTCCACGTAGGTGTCACAGAGGGTGACGCCCACTAGCAGAACAAACGTTCTTTCCTGAGTCCCCGTTAAACTAATCTAATGACTATGTCACATCCGATTATGTTTTAATATGATTTAACTGTTTCCGGTATTTTACTATTTTCTAAAATGTACTGAATTACTTTTCACAGATTTCACACTTTTACTTGTTTCCTCCTCAGAACAGACTGCGTTAACTTGGTGAAGAAAATAGCAAAGCACCCGCCAAAGCCATGCGGGGACTGACCCTGTCCGCCGTGACTTAGCGCTTGCTTTGTCACAGGCACTAGTGCTGATTATGAGTAAGAAAATCCTATCAAACCAAGAGGGAGTATGCAAATTGACCGTCACGCCATCACAAAGATGGCGGCGCCCACAGTGGAGGTGGGGAGATGGGGGTTTCCATAACACAAGATGGCTGCGCCCACAGGGGAGGCTGATTCTCCTATCGAGCCTTAATGAGCAATCAGCAGGGACCTGAGGCTGTGCCCCACCCCCCCGTCTCCCTGCCCAGTGGGCTTGACGGGGGACCTCAGGCTGCTCCCACCGCCACAGGCCAGGAGACCTCAGGCCACACCCCCTACCCCAGCACCGGGAGACCCGAGGCTGCACCCCCTCCTGGCTCTGGGCCAGGGCCCCAGAAGCTGTACCCCCAGCCCAGCGGGGCTTGACAGGGGACCTCAAGGTGTGCCCCCTGCCAGGTGGGGGTTGTCAGAGGATCTCAGGCCACATCCCCCACCCAGTGGGGCGTGATGGGGGACCTCAAGGTGCGCCCCCTACCCCAGCGCCAGGCCAGGGACTTGAGGCTGCACCCCCACCGGGGGGGCTGGACAAGGGTGGGGCCAGCAGGGTGTGGATCTTGCCCAGTGGGGGTGGGGCCGGCTGGGTCTGGGTCTTGCACAATTCTGAAGCCCCGCAGGTGGGCGGGGATTGACTGTGGGTCCCGTGGAGCACCCCAGGGGAGGAGGATTTTCATATACATTTTTCTGATTCTCTTTAGTCTATGACACTTCTATTATATGTGTATACATTCGTATACATTATGGACACTTGAAGTTCTTTTGTAACAGACTATATATTTATATAAAATACTAGAAGCCCGGTGTACGAAATTTGTGTACTGGGGGGGTGGGGGATCTCTCGGCCCAGCCTGCACCCTCTCCAATCTGGGACCCCTTGGGGGTTTAACCAGCAGTTGGACATCCTTCTCAAAATACCGCTCATCTGCCCACGAGCCTGATCACCCCCTAACCACTTCCCTGCCAATCTGATCGACATCTAATTGCTCTCCTGCTAGTCTGACCGCCCCCAACTGCCTTCCCCTGTGGGCCCTGTGACCACCAATTACCCTCCCTTGCCAGCCCAGTCGACCCAAACTTCCTACTTGCCCACCTGTTCACCCCCAACTGCCCTCCCCTGCAGGTCTGGTTTCCCTCAACTGCCCTCCCCTGCAGGTCCAGTTGCCCCTACCTGCTTTCCCCTACAGGCCTGGTCCCTCTCAATTGCCCTCTCCTGCATGCCTGGTTGCCCTTAACTACCCTCCCCTGCATGCCTGGTCTCCCTCCCAAAACCCTCCTCTCTGGCCCCGTTACCCCCAACTGCCCTCCCCTGCTGGCCCAGTTGCCCCCAACTGCCCAGTCCTGCCAGCCTTGTGGCCCCTAATTGCCCTCCCCTGTAGGCCTGGTCCCCCCCAATTGCCCTCCCCTACAGGCCTGACCCCCCCCCTCCCAATTGCCCTCCCCTGCAGGCCTGGTCACCCCTAACTGCCCTCCCTGCAGGCCTGGTCACCCCCAACTACCCTCCCCTGCTTTCCCGGTTGCGCCCAACTGCCCAGCCCTGCCAGCCTGGTGGTCCCTAACTACCCTCCCCTGCAGGTCTGGTCACCCTCAACTATCCTTCCCCGAATGCCTGGTCACCCTCCCAAAACCCTCCACTGCAGGTCTGGTTGCCCTCAACTGCCCTCCCTTGCAGGCCCAGTCACCCCCAATTACCCTCCCCTGCAGGTCCAGTCGACCCCAACTTCTTACCCTGCCAGTCTGTTCACCCCTAACAGCCCTACCGTACATTTCCGGTCACTACCAACTGCCCTCCCCTGCAGGCCTGGTGCCCCCCAATTGCCCTCCCCTGCAGGCTTGATCACCCCTAACTGCCCTCCCCTGCTGGCCTGGTCACCCCTAACAACCCTCCCCTGCAGGCCTGGTCACCCCTAACAGCCCTCCCCTGCAGGCCTGGTCCCCCCCAATTGCCCTTCCCTGCTGGCCTGGTTACCCCTAACTGCCCTCCTGTGCAGGCCTGGTCCCTCCCAATTGCCCTCCCCTGCTGGCCTGGTTGCCCTTAACTACCCTCCTCTGAAGGCCTGGTCTCCCCCACAAAACCCTCCCCTGAAGGCCTGGTCACCCCCAATTGCCCTCCCCTGTAGGTCTGGTCGCTCCCAACTACCCTCCCCTGCCAGCCATCTTGTGGCGGCCATTATGTGTGACAATATGAGGGTCAATTTGCATATTACCTCTTTATTATATAGGATGCCCTCATAAAAATTTCTCTCCAAATAAAAATTTTGATAAATATTCATATTTCAAACATTTAAACCTGTTTACTGCTTACAAAGTATATTTGAATATTTGCTCTGTCTTCTGTACATTGAACCTCCAAGTTATTAACTAGTCAATTTAACACCACTCAATGCATAATTCTTTCACCATTCATTGACTTAGCGGGGATTAAGTCATTATAACTTACAAGGTGTGCTTCTGGGCTGACCATACTATTTTACTGATTTCCCTATTGTTGTCATGTACCAGAAGTTTAAATTATGTCAAATGAAAAACCTAAATTATTGATTTCAAATAAATATCTAACTTTCTAGCAATTTATAATGAAATATGACTTAACGCTTTTTATTAAATTGTACATGTATGAGACGTTTCTGTGACTTTCTCTGTCAATAAAAAAGGAAACCCAATTATTCTAATATGCTTATTAACTCAATATGATGGCTTATGCTGCCCATTATACTGTATAAATGTTTACAATCTATGCAAAGATAAAAATAGTAGCTAAATGGGCATTAGATTAAGCTAACAAAATAAATAATAGAATCATCATAGACTTTAGATAAAAATATTTACTTTAATTGAAATGACCTTGCAAGTTATTCCTGGACTCAAAGACATAGGCAAGCAATGATATGGACAATACAGTAGTGACTACCTCATTGAGAAAAATACTTTACAATATGGGTTATAAGATTCCTTTAAAACACAATTAATAATCAGATACATCCATATGAAATTGTTGTTTGAATATTTCTTAAATAAAGCATGCAAGTGTTATATTGTTAGCTTTAAAAAAATGGCAAGCTGTTTAAAATTATTATGAAAATAATATACCAACCATCTCTGGCGCTACCCACCATGAAAGCAGAAAGGAATGAACAAGAGATTAAGAAAATGTTAGACATGGCAAAAACGGAAGTAACAGCAAAAACACCACAGTCGAGCATTCTTTGATTAACACCTCATGCAAATATTCCAGTACAGTGTTTCTCAACGTTGAGTGCCTACAGAGATTGAAAGTTGTAGGCTTATCTTAAAAAATGTACAGAGCAATTTTCAACTTTGTCAAAATCTAAAAAGCATTCATAAAAGAGTACTCTTTACGGTTTGTATAAACTTGAGAACAAATACTCTCACATCAGTGCCCTTACGTGTATCTGTCCTCACGGAAGCATAGCCATGGGTTCCACAGGACAGAAATAAAGCGTTCCTAGCAAATTATCATGCTGCTTGCGTGAAAATCTCACAGTATTTGGAATATAGCTAAGAGGTGGCGACACTAAGACAGACAGAAGTTGGATATTGGTGACTTTAGTTTCCCCTAACTAACATTATCTGTCCTGTCACATCAAAGTTCTTAACTGGAATTTTATTAGGTATTGTTTTTTTTTAATTTAATTATGATTTTTGAACTAATATTTGTCTGAGAGCTTCAAGGATATGTCTTTGATAAAAACTACCTTCACCAAAATGTAAAGAGAAATGGAACAGAAGCATTTAGTGTTTATAAGGACATGGGCTAATCATAGCCCATTCTACAGAGCTCTTAGCATCAGTGTCTTCAAACTTCCAGGACAATTCAAAACTGGGAAATAAAAGGGAGAGAGAGAACGAGAACCCAAGGGAACTGCAATCCTAAAAAGCTTGTGCGGGTTTCTGCTTTTTCACTGAGAGCCCAGAGTCATGGACGGCCCCACAATGCTTCTTTCAAGAGACTGGTGCTAGCCTTACAAAGATTTTCCTTCATCTACCCATTCACGGTCTTGAAATTCATAATTGTTAAGACCGAGATAGAATCTTATAAATCTAATGTAATGACCTTTTAATTCTTGGATTTCAAAATAATGAGCCATTAGAATCCAGGCAGTTTTGCATGAACCATTTTATCGCCGTTGGAATTTGCACCGTTAAGATCCAAACCAAACCTCGTCCTGAGCATGTGCAGGAGTGTTTATGGGACTAAATGCACATTATGTCTTAACGTAGTTACTTTAAGTAAGTTTTTATAGTGATAATAACTCCAGGAAAGGATGGTGTGGGTACACAGAATCACATATTAAAGAGGAAAACCCACTCAGGGCCAACCTGTTGGCTGGTCTATAGAATCACATGTTAGTGACAGACAGCAGGCGGGGCCAGTCGCTGCATAGTCACCTGCATTTCATCCAACTTGGACTGAATGTCTGGAGGGAAGTCTCCCGACGCACAGCTGAACGGGTCGAAGGGCTCCGCTCCAAACAGGTCTCGTTCTAGACGGAAGACAGGACGTGGTGTAAGAACAAGCGGCAGACAGACTGCGGGAAGGAACCCCACATGACAATGAGCCAGCCCCCTCCATGTGGGGCATTCCCCAGCTCAGGCTTGTTAACACCAACCAGGACGCTCAGATCTCCTTTAGGCTTGTCTTTAACTGGGGCCTCCTGATATCAAACCCACCAGATACCGGGTAATTAATGCTTCACATGTTATTAACAGGAATGTGCTCCTCACCGAGACGCCCCTTCCCATCTGCTGACCCAGGCGGGCAGCAGAGCGCAGAACTGAGGCGCCAGGGGCAGTTTTACGCAGCCCCCGTAGGAGTCTCGGGAAATGTCTGAGGGACATCCTCTCACATGGTGTGACCTCATGTCACCTTCCTAGCAAGCCCTGGGTCCCAGGATCATCCCAGCGCCAACGCTCTCTGTACATACTTTTTCTTAGTCACAAAGGAAGTGTCACGTTAAAATCGATGGCCGAGATTGATAAGGCTGTAGCCTATTAAAAAGAAATTTTTTAATGGCTATGAAATGTCGTTCCTCTGAATCAATTCCAATAAGACCCGGGCAGACTATGAAGGAGTGTGGAGGTACAGACAGGCCTGGGAATGTGTAATGGAGTGAGACTTGCGTGTCCAGGAACCTGTCACCACACTCTGAAGCCAACACTGTGTAAGGAACATGGCCTCGGCTGCCTGTCCTCCACCTCGCCCCTCCTTCCCTCCCGCTGTGCCTGCTTCTCCAGGTGTAACTTCTGGGCGGGGGGCAGATTCACACAGGAAATGAGGTAACCAATGATGCTTGGCAAGGATGGGATACACGTCAGAGGGGCACATCATTTATCCCCAAATAAAGAGGAGGGAGACTCCACGAGTCACAAAGCAGCGGCCAGGTATACTGGTTTGTTTGGAACTTACTGGTCTCGGCGGCTCTGCCAGGCACCGGGGGCGGCTGCGTGCCATTGGGCGTGGGCACCGGGGGCGGCGGGGAGGTGGGCGAGAAGGGCACCATGTCGAAGATGTCTGTGGAGGGTGACTGCGGCGACACACTGCCGGCCTGCGGGGAGAGAAGCGGGTCAGGACCGTCATGCATGCAGACACATGACCGTGCTGACTGCTCCATCACTGCACAACACAGGAACGGCACGCTCCGCTGTGTCAAAAATAACTGAACACTGGCGATCTCATACGGTCCCCACAGGTACGCAAAGTGCTCACGAGCAAGAAAGCAGGAGGAACTTTCTGCAGAAATGTCCTCAAAGATGAAGGCAACCCTAGGGACAGTGTTATTCGGGCAGATAGGAAGCAGGCGCTGGCCTTCTGTCTCCACAAGGAACTGCCATTGGTATCAGGGAGCTGGGAACGGGAGAAGCTATGGAACATGATCTCAGGAATGTCTTGCATAAGATTGTAAGCATTAAACAAAATTACCTGAACATAAGTCACAGACCTTCTTACCTATAACCTTGTCAATGCAATTGAGGACAAGTGTCACCTTCTCAAGGTGCATTTTAATTTACATTTATAACCACAGGGACAGCAGCTCTCAGACACACTGCAGTGTCCTTTCTGCTGAGCAAGAGTTCAACACGTTTGCCGAAACCGGTTTGGCTCAGTGGTAGAGCGTCGGTCTGCAGACTGAAGGGTCCCGGGTTCGATTCCAGTCAGGGGCATGTACATTGGTTGTGGGGACATCCCCGGTAGGGGGTGTGCAAGAGGCAGCTGGTCGATGTTTCTCTCTCATCAATGTTTCTAGCTCTCTATCCTTCTCCCTTCCTCTCTGTAAAAAATCAATAGAATATATTGGAGAAAAAAAAAAAGAGTTCAACACATTTTATATAATGAACCGTACCTTGTGATTTAACGATCACCGAACACACCACCACAGCCATTGCTGTCTGGGCCTGTCTGGGCCAGGGCATGATGAAAGAACGAAATAATCACCCCTTTGTCATTCAGGGGAAAACACACACACACACACACACACACACACACACACACACAAATGCACATACATGCACACACACACACACAATCCATAGACAGGAAAGAAAGAACTCCCACATGGGAGAGGGACAGTGAGGAAATTTTCCTTTTCCTTTTCCATACACAGAGAATGCTTCGAGTAGTTCGTATTCACAAGTAAACATGACACTTCGGTAATTAAACATTTTAATGAGCCCCGCCAGTGTGGCTCAGTGGCTGCACATCAACCTGTGAACCAGGAGGTCATGGTCTGATGGGCAAATGACACCCTCAGAATGCCTTTATCTTTCTGAGTCACAGACGACGAAAACCATGAAGACTAACATGGCTGCTTATGTGTAAAGAGTGGCAGGCTTGCCATTAGCATGATTGCTAGTACGTGTGTATGTGCTTTTTAATTTATTGTGTAAAGTGTTACAAATAGTAGCACGTGTCCCTTCCCCCCCTCACTGACCTCCCCCACCTCCCCCACCCCCCGGCGCTTGCCCTCGTCCCCCGCCCCCCGTGTCTGGCGTCTGCTGGCCGTGCTCATATGCGTGCACACAGTCCGGTTGATCTCTGACCCCTCCACCCTCCCTACCTCCCGCTGTAGTGACAGTCTGTTCGCTGCTCCTTTGCCTGTCCTTCAGGCAGGAAATTTGCTGTCATCTCCCCCTTTTCACCGTCCCATTTACTTCAACATAAATACTATCCAAAGTCTTCAGGCAACTGCACCCCTCAGCTCTGCCCCCCTCAGGATCACTGCCCTCCTACCCTCATGCCCGCTCCCCCTGGCGGCCACCTCTCTCCTCTTCCTCGGAATCAACAACTCAGATCTCAGCTGGTCAAAAGCAAAGCAGAACCACCACAGATGGCTCCCTCTGCCCCTGCTTTCCGCTCTCATCCTTCCTCCTCCCTTCACGGCCAGCTCCCCGAGGAAGGCACTGCACCTGCCCCATCTCGTTCTTCCTCCGCCTGCGATGCCTGTCCAGCCAGACTCTGCCGTTTATGCATAAATTCCGCCGACACTGCTCCCCCCAGCGGCACCGATGCCCCCTCTCCGTCTGCTGCCCCGAAGGGTCCCTGCGTCCCGTCCTCTCCTCGTTCTGTGGGTGTGCACCATCCACTCTCCCCTGGAGCTCTCTCATGTCAAGTAACCAGAGGGAGACAACATGGCCGGCCAAGGCCCAGATCACGTTATTCCAGACACACTGCCGTGATGGACTATGACGGTGTGAGGCGTGACGACCATTTGCATATTAGCTCTTTGCTATATAGGATTGGTTTCAGAGAGGAAAGGAGAGGGAGAGAGAGGTGGAAACATCGACGATGAGAGAGAACCATTGATCGGCTGCCTCTTGCACGCCCCCTATTGGGGACAGAGCCTGGAACCCGGGCCTGTGCCCTGACCTGGAATCGAACCGTGACCTCCTGGTTCATAGGTCAATGCTCAGTCACTGAGCCACTCTGGCGGGGTGGAAATCTTAATTTTTAATTAATCTTGGGCTCTTTCATCTCTATCCACATGCCAGTTTGCGTTTCCGACGACAGAGCGTGACGAACCCCGCCAAGCGCTGGCCCGAGGCCTCCCGGCACCAGGAAAGCCCCTCCCGGGAGGTCGGCCCGGCCTCCGGGCACTCACCGGAGAGGTGCACACCCGGGTTATTCGCAGCTGGTTCTCCAGGTCCTGGACTTTGTTCTTAAGCTCCACGTTTTCCGTTTCCAAGTCTTGAATCTAAAAGGCAAACGACGGTTGGACAGACCTTCAGAAATGCATGCCCGGAACAAGCCGGCTCTGACATCACTGCACTGGCGAGTGGGATTCCTGCTACTCAGACTGCAGTGTGCTCTCCTGTCACTGGATAAGGCTCGTGGGACACAGAGTGCTGGCCCCTGGGCAGACGCGTGGCCTGTGGGATGTTGCAGGCGTGGGCACAGGCATGGTGCTACCCCGGTCTGTGCTCCCTGCGGGCCGCGGTCTCGCCCGTGGCCGTGGAGGGTAACGCGGGCCAGGGAGCCGGTCTGCGCGGGAAGCCACTTACCCAGCCTCTGCTGCTGCTGCTGCTCTGATCCCCGCGAGAAGCATGGGAGTGAAGCAGAGTCACATGAGAACACTCCGCTCTTGGGATCCAACAGGAAACGGTTAGCAGCCGCGGGGTGACGGGGGAGGACACGGAGACGGGAGACGGACACGGTGACGGCGTGTGGGGGTGGATGGATGGGTGGATGGATGGATGGCGCTGCTACTCTGTCTGATGGTTTGTGAGGTTCCCTGCGCTCAGTCACACGCCACACGCCACACGCCCCGCTCCGGGTACTCACTCTTTTCTGGAGCCCTGCGATCTGCTTCCTCGTTTCCACGTCCTTGCCTCCAGATTCTAGAAACTTCCTGTATGCCAGGTTAAACGCTTGGCCGATGGTTAGCGTGATCTCCTCTGCCTTCACACACACAAAGCAAAGGAGAGGAGCGTGTAGTGAGCGTGTGTCGGACTGGCCTGTGCATCAAGAAAGACATGCCCACCGGCACCCCCAGAGGGCAGCACTGGGGGCCGAGGAACGGGAGATGAGCCACGTTCTCGCCGCCAAAGGAACAGCCCGATGCCTCCCCACGCACGATGTAAAGAACAATGTGCCGGCATGGCTCATGGCCGACCTATGAGCCAGGAGGTCACGGTGTAATCCCCGGTCAGGCCCACGCCCGGGCTGGAGGCTCCATCCCCAGTGAGGAACGTGCAGGAGGCAGGCGATCCAGGATTCTCTCTCAGCATTGATGTTTCTATCTCTCTCTCCCTCTCCCTTCCTCTCTGAGATCAATAAAAATGGATTTTAAAAAATAAGACAAACAAACATCTATTTATGATAATAAAATGAAGTTGGGTAAAGTCATTAATTGAATGCTTCACAAACATCACATCAATGAAACCATGTAGGCCCCAGAATTTCTCTTTGAATAAGTATTAAATTGTAAATTCAATTTCCTTTATATTTATAGTGATAAGCCAGTGGTCGGCAAACTCATTGGTCCACAGAGCCAAATATCCACAGCACAAAGACTGAAATTTCTTTGGAGAGCCCCATTTGTTAAACTTAAACTTCTTGTAACGCCACTTCTTCAACATAGACTCTCCCAGGCTGTAGTGTTTTGTGGAAGAGCCACACTCAAGGGGCCAGAGAGTCACATGTGGCTAGAAAGCCGAGGTTTGCCGACCACGGGGCCAGGCTATGCAAATTAATACAATTAGAGCAAATGAAACCTGGAGGTAAAAGTAGCAGAAGGAAATGCTGAAGTAACGGTCCTCTTTGAGCTCATTCCGAACGAGATGCTAACGTGAGGCTGGAGGGGAGCTCAGACCTTTGCTTTTCGAAGCCCAGGCTCCATCCACCTGCAGCGGAATCACGTGGCGAACATGCTGCACGTGGGTCCCCCGAGCCCAGCCCGGTCCACGTGGACTTGTTTGTGAAGTGGAAACAGAGCTCTGCTTCCGAGTCCTGAGCACACAACCTGTGAGCCATCGCGGCAGCCCCACGTGTGCTGCCCTCAGAGCACACAACGGTCACGTCCTGTCTTCACAGGGGACAACGCACCGAGGAATTACAGTGACGGAGTCAGTGGCAGACAATGATGATCGGGTAGCAATAAAGTCTATACTGTGAAACCCGGGGATTTGGCAAGCTTATCCTACATAATAAAGGGGTAATATGCAAATTGACCCTCACACCCTCGCACATGATGGCCACCCCCATGTGGTCAAAGATGGCCGCCACAAGATGGCAGGCAGGGGAGGGTAGTTGTGAGCAATCAGGCCAGCAGGGGAGGGCAGTTAGGGGCAACCAAGCATACAGGGGAGGGCAGTTGGGGGCAACCGGGTTGGCAGGGGAGGGCAGTTAGAAGTGACCAGGCCTGCAGGGGAGGGCAGTTGGGGATGACCAGGTCAGCAGGGAAAGGCAGTTGGGGGTGATCAGGCTGGCAGGGGATGGCAGTTGGGGGCAATCGGGTTGGCAGGGGAGTGGTTAGGGGCTATCAGGCAGGCAGGCAGGCGATCAGTTGAGAGCCAGTTATCTAGGATTGTGAGAGGAATGTCCGAGTGGGCCTAAACCAGCAGTCAGACATCCCCCGAGGGGTCCCAGATTGGATGGGGTGCTGGCTGGGCTGAGGGACACCCCCACCCCTCCAGTGCACGAATTTCATACCCTGGGCCTCTAGTGTTTAAATGATCACGTAACCCATCTGCTGGGGATCAAGTAAAGGAAAGCACTTTGACACAAAGCCGTAAGAAGGCTCTTATCCATAATGACCTCTTCTGAGTATTAATATTTCAAGAAGCTTTAATGCCCTGCGTAAGACAAGACAGTGCCCCGATCATCATTGTCTGCCACTGTGCTGCTCGCGGTAAGGGCACCAGGCTGGTCTGTCTCACACGGAGGCGAGCTGCTCCAGCCTCCGCGGGCACAGAGGCACAGCTGCCAGCAATCACGTCAGCGGCGCTGGGAACGTTGCACATAATGCATTCCTCCGGAGGGTCGTCTCCAAACCGCTGGAGCTTCTCAGAACATCCTTGTTGTGCACACAGAGCCTCCCATCTGGGGAAGCATATTTTTTTTCTGATGAAATGTTCTGTCATGCTCAGCGAATTCTCAAAAGATATTTGGGTGCCAATTAGGTTAACACATGCGTTTGCCTTCTTAGAGAGATCTAGAGTGTGGATTTCCCAAACTTCTGACACAGGTGTGCCCCTTCTATAATTTGCTGAGTGCCCCTCGTACTCATGAGAACGTAGAATTGGGCGCAGCTAAGCACGGTGCAGTGCATATCCCCACCAAACTCCAGTGCAACACGTACCCCCACCCAACTCTTCCCGCACCCCTGGGGGTGCGCATACCACACTTTGGGAAACACGTGTTTCCCAAATAATACAGATATTAACATGCTCTATGGAAACCCGGTCTTTTCTTTAAAGAAAAATTCATTGAGTATCTATTGTCGACTGTGGTAGGACTTACGTGGACAGATAAAAAAGGTGTTTGCAAGAAGCTCGCGTACTGAGCACAGAAGTAAACTGCGCGTGAGTAACAGTGATACTAGTCCCCGGACTTTATGACAGCCCGAAAGTGAGCAAATGCATGAATTCAGTTCCTTTCCCATCTGAGCCAGGCATGTTGCCGAGGTGAGGCGCTCTGCTTCGTTAAGGACATCAGTGGGTGAGCGTGGCCCCAGGCACCAGGAGGTCACCGTTCCGATTCCCATCAGGGCACAGGCCCCGGCCGCAGACCTGATCCCCAGCCGGGGGAGGGGGGAGGGCGTGCAGGAGGCAGCCGAACAAAGCTGAGGATTCTCTCTCGTCACTGATGTTTCCGTCTCTCTCTCCCACTTCTCTTTATCTAAAATCAATACAACAAACTTGAAAGAGGAAACGCCATTGATGGCTGCCACGTGTCTTGGAATTCATGTCGTAGGCTTGACAACAGGACCGCGGTCTAGGTTATGAGCCTTAGCTTATGCTTATGATCAAGGCCCAGGGTTTCCTTACGGTTCCAGAAGGTTAAAGAATTATTGCAGGATTAACCTCAGGATTCCCTGGTGGTCCTCACCTGCTAAGAGCTTCAGATTACATTCACAAAGGCACACCCCCCTCCAACGTACTGGCACACGCATATGCTCACACCTCTCCCGATTCCATGACTTTTCACTGTGGTAAGTTTTCTGAATCACGAAAATTAAGAACCATGCTTTCCAAGTGTTGGCCATTTTTAGAGAAGCCGTACAGATATTATTTCCTGGAGTTCAACATGTTTCTTTGCCTCGATCCATTAACATCACAGAAAAAACGAACTCTGCTGACCACCACTCTTTGCATCATGGGCACATCCCTAAGCCATGTTTGAGATTAAATCACGAATAAATGATAGGATTACAAGATAAGCAGATGCGCAGCACGAGCAGGCCGGCGTCCTAGAGAAGCGGTTTGCACGTGGGCCTGCATGCCGGACGTGAGGATTCCGTTATGGACGGATCCGCAGCCCCGTGACAGGTCCGTTAGGAGTTTAGTAGTTGCAGGCGTGGCTCACGACCTCAGACTGACCGACACCAGGAACAAGAGAACCCGGACCGGGAGAGGCCAGCCCCTCGGACGCCCGGCGGGCACTTACACACTTCTCGCTGTCGAACACGTAGCACAGGTGCTTGTGGGACTCGGCGTCCTTGCAGATGAAGGTGAAGATCCGCTTGTCCGTCTTGTCGTCAGCACAGAACGATATCCGGTGCAGCTGGCAGTTGTGCTGGACCTCCTGCAAACACGCACAGACACACGTGATGGGGCTGCCCAGTGCCCGGATGCCAGCTGCAAACACGCACAGACACACGTGATGGGGCCGGTTTATTCCCCAACACCAGCTGGCACTGGACTTCCTGTGAACACGCACAGACACACGTGAGGACATTCGAAAACGAGCCTTACCTTGGTTTTGGGTTCTAGAATTTTCACTCCATAAATCGATATTTGCAACTCAACTTTTGGAATTTTCTGGCCTTCGGATTTCTTGATATGTCTTGCAAACTACAAATGAAAAATTACTTCATTTAATTATTTCATATAATTATCTCTATGAAGAATGAACACATTTTTATTTATTTATATGTGTGGTATGTGTAAATGGAGTTCCTATTGTGTTGAACGTTTCATTAAAGTATTTTATAAACCCCGTCACCTGCGGGGGCAGCTGTCACCCCGTGGACGGGAGGGCATGGAGGTGAGGGGGGAGCTTTATTCTCCTGGGGATTGTCAGCACGCCCCTTCCCCCACCCCCCGTAGCCAGCCAGTGTTCTTACTTCTGCACAGAAAACACACTAATTCGAACCAGAGGGGTTTTGGTTTGCTTTGTTTTTCTTGAAGAGGTTTGCTCTGCCTCAGTGAGAATCGTGAAAACCACCCCAGGAGAGGGGAGGGGTGTGTTCCTCTCCCCCCCCTTCCCGGTGCAGAACGCGCGCCCGGGGGGGTGCAGAGGCGGCTCTCACTGTCACTGCCCCTGGGCCCGGGACCTGCCTCTGGGCTGTGCCCTCCGCCAGGGCACAAGCAGCACCCACATCCCGGGACCCTCTCCGGTGCCCGGAGGGGGGCACAGAACACCCACTAGCCCACTAACAGCACCCAGCTGCTGGGCTGTTGCTGTTCTCCCAGAAAAAAGCAGCAGCAGCAGGGAGGAATGCAGAGAGGAAGGAGGTGGGAGGCAGGGAAACCAGGGGAGGAGGGAAGGAGACACAGGGAGACAAAGACACAGCAGCAGGAAGTGTCTGGTCTGGGCCCTGGGAAGGCCTTGCCTCTGCATCTCCAGAGAGGAAGGAATTGTGTCTCCAGACTCCCAGAGGCCCTCCAAGCCAGGGCCCGGGTCCGAGATGTGTGCAGCCACCAGGCCTCGCCCCGCCGCTAAACGCCTCCTTTCTTTCGCACACAGGTTTTCCGGTTTAAAAAGTAAACTTCTTGCCCGGCCTGTGTGGCCCGGTGGTTGAGTCGACCCAGGAACCAGGGGGTCAGGGTTTGATTACGGGCCAGGGCACAGGCCCGGGTTGCAGGCTCCAGCCCTGCAGGGGGCGTGCAGGAGGCAGCCGATCAGTGATTCTCCCTCATCATGGATGTTTCTCTCTCTCCTTCTCCCTTCCTCTCTCTCTAAAGCCAATAAGAAATATTAGAAAACAAACTAAACAGCGTCTTCACAGAGAGAGTGAAGTCGAAGGAGAACCCTGCCGGGGTAGATCTCACGGAACTCAGTCAGTCCTGAGGCCACGGTCCTGGCCTCTCCCGTGGCCTGAGCCCTCTCAACCTGACACAACTTGCATTTATAGGAACAAATAAACACCATTCATATCGAATTCCTCACAATAACACTGGTACTAGAGAGAAGTTGAAAGGGTTTTTAAATGATCAGGTTTCACCGAATTTGGTATTTTCTTACATCTCAGGCTAAAACATACTCAATAAATATAAAATATGATGTTTTGAGGAACACATACTTGCTTACAACATTTTTTTCATTTTAGGAAAAATGGATAAATTCCCCACAAAATGACAGGAAAAGTGGCAATAACTCAGTGTTTAAACTCTTTCTGAAAAGTTACCGGGCATCATTAAAACATGGTAGCATGGAAAATAAATTATTGAAAATCTTTTTTAAGTTTTCCATCATATGGCATTGATCCTAAAATTGTCATTCTTTTTAAGTCAAAGGCCAGTATATTAGTATTGGGAACTTTTAAAAACTTTAATAACTATAAAATGTTCCTTTCACCAAAGCAAGTAAAATGAAATCCTCCACCCTCCTGGGTAACAGGGCGGTCAGAACACATGTGATTAAGAAACCTAAGCAGGAAATCAAAATGAGGGATGAGAACAAGATTAATGAGCACATTTATTTTTAAGTGGCGCCACAGCGCCATCTTCTGGCCATTTCAACATAACAGAACTAAACATTCTTTTTTTAAAAATGTGAATAATCTACTTTGAGCTGTAGCCTCAAACACACAAAATACGTAAAAAACAAACCCTGTTCACTGGTTCACTTTCACTGGTTCCCGAATCATTACCCTCAGACATACTTTCCAAATCGAAATACTATTTGCAATCACTCACGCGAAGATGGCGCCTCACAGGTATTTGTTCCGGAAGGCACTTGAAGGGCTAAGCTACGCCATGTGGTTTTTATCTTCCTGCCAACCACCTCCCCTCCGTAACAGAGGGCGTTTCCAAACGCGAAACGACATCGGGACTACAGGTAGAGTCCCACAAACACACGCGTGTGGCCCGAGGAGCCTTACAGCTCTGATAAGCATTATTATTCATTAACTATTGTATTACTTTCCATAATAACAACTGCAGACCAGCTTTTACCCCACGCTGCGTATAAAAACCAGCTTTGTTCCTAAAGCATGTCATTGCAAATGCCTGTTTGCATTGGATCTGGCCACGATGGGAGGGAGTCCTGGTCTGGGGTTCGGGGTGACTGAATAAAGGCCCCCCCTAGATATAAAGAGACCCTCGGCTACACGCCACTGTTCTCTCTAACACATTCTGATGTCGGGGAGCGAAGTGGACTCCCGCCCAGCGTTCTGATCACGGGACAGAATCTGGTTCCACGCGCTGCCGCGAACCGGGAGGCCCTTTAGTCCGTGGGCGCTCAGAGCCCGGCCGGGCCAGCAGTCCGGGAGAGGGCCTCTCGCCCGCCCTCCCCAACGGGGAGTGATGCCACCCGGGACCCCAGAGCACATTTACGTCAAACGCAGGCACATGGCTGCTGATGAAATGAACGCATGAAGCATCATCCGTTTTCAGTTTTCGCCCAGAGCACGCACGGCCGCCGCTGCACCCGCTCAGCTCAGACTCAGACTCGGGAGCAGGCTCACGCGCTGCGCCTCTCCGGAAGGAGGGCGATCGGGAGCAGCTGCCGCTCACAGAGCGAACGGAACGGACAGCAGCTGGGCAGCAGGAGCCGCACGATGAAGCAGAGGCGTCTGCATCTCACCTGTCAGCAGGCTCCCGAACAAGGCGCAGCCATTTGTGAAAACCAGTTTCTCCAGAGGCTGGCGGACAGGAGCCACGGTGCCCACGGCATCGCAGTGTCATAACACAGGGACACCGAGCAGGCCGGCTGGCTCAGGGGCCGAGCGCTGACCTCTGAACCAGGAGGGCAGGGTTCCATTCCCGGTCAGGGCACAGGCCCGGGTTGCGGGCTCCATCCCATGTGGGGCGTGCAGGAGGCAGCCGATCAGTGATTCTCTCTCATCCCCGATGCTTCTCTCTCTCTCTCTCTCCCTCTCCCTTCCTCTCCGGAATCAATAAATATATATTTACTTTTAAAAAAAAATAAAACAGTATTGAACAAAAGATGTTACCGAGGACCTGCTGGTTTAGTGGGATGTTCGATTGTCTCGGTAAGGTAGAGATGAGAATGCTGAGGGGAGCAATGAAGAGTCCTTTGGTGAATGAGTAGATACAGAAGATATGACACAGGTGTGACTATTCCTCAGCCTTTTATAAAGGGGAGGACACCTTGCCACCTGAGGCAAGGGTGGACCCTGAGGGCATTACGGGAGGTGAAAGGATTCAGGCAGAAAAAAAATGAATATCACACGGTCTCATATGCAGAATCCAAAACAAAAATAACCTCCAGCCTGCGGGCCCAGAGGCAGGTGGAGGTGGGCAAATGGGCACAGGAAGCACAGAGGCACAAACTCCAGTGCAGAGTCAGTCAGTCCTGGGTGTGAGGTCCAGTTCACAATCTATACCAACAAAAGCGCAATATGCTAATTAGACCGGACAGCCGAACGACCTTCCGGAGGAAGCCGGGGCTGCGAGGGCCGAGCCCCTGGCACGAATTCCGTGCACCAGGCCCTGGTGTGTGTGTGTGTGAAAGCTGCTAAGAGCGTAGAACGGAGTTTTCATCAGAGAGGAAGGGAGATGGGGAGGAGCGGGAGAGGAGATGGGGGGAGAGAGAAACCTCAGGGATGAGAGAGAATCATGGATCAGCTGCCTCCTGCACGCCCCCCACTGGGGATCGAGCCCCTGAACCGGATTCACTGGTTGAAGCTCAGCCCCTGAGCCCCGCCGGCCGGCTGATACTCTGACTGCTAAGCAGCTGCCACCACACTAGCTGGTCAGGGCGTGCGGCCGGCGGTGAAGGCAGCCACCGATGCCAAGAGGCAGGAAAGGCTGCGTCTCCGCTGTATAACGCGTTCACACTTAATCAGCATTTTCCCTTAATCCGGTGACATTTATTCGAGAGCCCATTTCTAACCGGAAGCCATGTCCACCACTGAGGCATCACACTCGGAAGGCCCATCCGTCTGGTCTGCGGACGGCTTAGCCAGGATCCACCCACCGGCCGGGGGGGGGGGGGGGAGGGGGGAGGGGGGAGGCAGGGGGCGCTCGCCTACCTTCAGCTTCCGCACGGCGTCCCGGACGACCTCGGTGCCCTTGGGCTGCTCCACCTCGGTGCTGCCGAGAAACTGAGAGGCGGGGGTGAGACGTGCAGTCACCGCGCCCGGCAGCAAACCCAATCCCAGCCCACGGAGAAGTCGCTCCTGCACATGCGTTAGACTCCGTGAAAAGTCAGAGTGTGATCTGGTCCCATAAACTCGTACCATTCCATTCCTGAAACTCATCTACCTTTTCACATACCAACGTTCAACATGCCCAGTGCCTACCATCCACCAGAGCTCACGCCAAACTGCATTTAAAAAATAAATAAAACGCCAGCCTGGCCAGTGTGGCTCAGGGGGTGAGCATCGACCTAGGAACCAGGAGGTCACAGTTCGATGCCCGGTCAGGGCACAGGCCCGGGTTGCAGGCTTGATCTCCAGTGCAGGGCGTGCAGGAGGCAGCCGATCCATGGTTCTCTCTCTTCATTGATGTTTCTACCGCTCTCTCCTTTTCTCTTTATGTCTGAAGTCAAAAATATATTTAAAAAAAATAAAACATAGATGATCTACAATTTTACTCTATTTTCAAATACACCTGAAGGGTTTTTAGTTAAAACGTCTGTAATACTTTCAACAACAAAGATACATTTAAAACAACAACAACTGGATCTATCAAATAAAAAAGTTTCATATCTATTAACACACTGGCATGAAATCTTCCATCCTGGAGAGCATGCGTACCTCCTGAACTCAGTCCAATATCATAAAATGTTGAAGACCAATTCGAATGGAAATATGAGCATTTTCTTCTAAAAAAAAAAACCACATTTCTATATAAATAGCAAATGATCATTAACTTAATTAAGTGTATGTAATTCCCCAAGGGCATTTTTGTTACATACTACCAATTACATACCCCAAAGTGCATCATGAATGTGTCACTTCTTCTCTTTTCTTTTTTTGATATATTTTATTGATTTTTTATAGAGAGGAAGGAAGAGGAATAGAGAGCCAGAAACATCGATGAAATCCCGATGCTGTGAAAGCTGGTTCACTCTCCACGCACACACCCCAGTGGGCAGGCCCCCGGAGGCCCGAGGCTGCCCCTGGCACACGGAGAGCCGTCCACCTGCTCTGACACACGGAATGCGGACAGACTTCTAAAATGCCACCCAGCGGTGGAGGGGTCCTTGGCGTAGGGAAGGGGGGACATCTGCCATACTTCTGACAATAAAGACACGTTTTAAAAAATGCTAGGAAGACGGTTCACATCTGGCTTAATATTTTCCAAAATCCCCACAAGTGTTTTTCAGTTACTTAAAACAATGCAGACGTGTAAGAGACCAGTCTCGAGTGAAGTCTGCACTCTTTATTCTATTTATTTTACTCCGTTCCACGCGTGAGCACTCCTGAGAAACCGGAGTTCAAGGCTCTGCCTTCATGTGCAATGGCCTTCCTGGTCCCCAATAAGGCCAGCAGTCTGGCTTGCTTCTTGGCCAGCAGAGGGCGGTGTTGGCCATCACAGGGGCCCAGTCATACTGTCTGGCTGGCCGGCTCAGTCACCAGGAAAAATGTAGATGTCTCTCCTTCAATCACCACTAAAATAATTACCTAAAGAGTTACCGGACCTAATTGCTATGAAATTCGGAACCACTGAACATATGAGGAAGTTAACTTATAACAGAAATAGATATGTCTTTTGTGTATATGTAATTCAGCATGTACCCATTTTTTGTAGAGAATGTTTCCTCCATAATTATTTTTAAGTATTAAGGGAAATAATGTCTAGTTTTTACCACGTAAAAGTTTCACCCCGCATCCAGTTTGAATGACTACTTGTAGCGAGATGGCCAATAGGGATTCTAATCTTAGAAAAACAAATAACCAGCTACGTCACCTTCTTTGTAAACAAGGCTGCAGAGCCTAAAACAGGACAGGCTAATGCTCCTGGCATTAAGTTGACGGTGTGTAAAAAATAACATTCCTTCTAGCTTCTCCGGGCACCAGGGACAGGCCCCAGCGGGGAGTCAGCCACTGAGTCTGGAGTCTCTGCTCAGCAGACAGGTGGTGCCACGGCGCCAAACAATCCAGGGAAAACCAGTTTCCAAGAGCACACTGTCACGGCGATTTCTGCAGAATGGGCAGAGTCATTCGGGTGGAAACCGACTACTTAATTGCCAAAACCGTCATCCTGGAAAAGGGAGGTAGAGTAGATCCTCCAAAAAAGGACAGTCACACGTTAAATCCGAAACCTGATACTCCGAGGGTGACCCCGAAAGGAAGGCCGGACACGCTGACGGAGAAGGAGAGCAATGACCGGCGTGGCATTCAGAGCCCACAGCTCGCATTGGCTGGATGTTTAGCTTTCCCATCTCATTACAGTAACTTCGCTTCCGGTTTCATCTGTTCCTGCGTCACATGACTAGGGGTGTACTATTACTATTTTGTTTATTTTTTAGAGAGACTGGAAGGGAGGGGGGGAGACAGAGAGAAACATCCATGTGAGAGAGACACATCAATCAGTTGCCTCCCCCATCTGCTGTGGCTGGGATGATGGGTCCTGCAACCGAGATGTGTGTCCCTTGAG